ATTTAAAGAGCCCTTTTTCTATTAAATTTCTTAAAATTAATGCTTTATGTTGCTCAGAGTAATTCGCACAATTATGGGCGTAAAGAATTGATCGTTACAGCCCCTGGGGTTTAGTCTCCAGGCCAATTCCTCTGGAAACCCAGGGACTTAGGTCCTGCTGCTCTACCCGGCAAGTCCCGGGCCAGACCCCACCTCCTGTCCTGTATGGGGGGACAGTCTCCAGACAAGCCCTGCAGGTCTGCATCAGATGGTGAGGAGGGAGGTGAGGCTGAGGGGAGGAGTGACCCCTGGTCTCAGGAGAGAGGGGCTGTCCCTGCCACCAGGGAGAGAAGGGGTGTCCCCTGCCACCAGGGAGAGAAGGGGTGTCCCCTGCCACCAGGGAGAGAGGGGGTGTCTCTGGTTGGGGAGGGTCCTTTGAGCCTTCACTCCAGTGCAGATTTTATTTAAAAGAAAAAAGGTCTTTGTCGAGTTAAAAGGAAGTGGAAGTCGTTGTTTGTATTATCCAGGCATTGATGCTGATAATGTGATACAGTCTCCAGGGTCAGAAGTTAACAAGCCCTAACATCCTGGCGACAGGCCAGAGGTTAACCAGCAGGGGGTCCTGGTCTGTCAGGTGCCCCCACAGTGCCCCTCTGCTCCCCCTCCCGCCTGAACAGCGGGAACAAAAGGCACCCACATGCCTTGCGCCCCCTGGCCCAGCCGTCCATGCCCCAGGCTTTGAGCTGGGTGCTCCCCTCCGCCTGGTTCCTTTGGAAGACAGGGTCCCAGGAACCTCGTGTTCTCTGGGACACCACAGGTGCCTAGACGCTCCGCCAGCTCATGGGGGGAAAGGGTGTTTTCCAGGTGACCCCTCCAGGAAGGGCCGGGAGTGCTGGGCCTTGACCTTCAGGAGCCGCAGCGCCTGGTCCGAGGTCCTCTCTGCCGGGGTCTCAGCCTGTCAGATCCGGGTCACTGGGCTGTGTGGGACACGGGGCTGAGCCTGCGAGTCTGCCCAGGGAGCCACAGCTTCCTGAGACGGGGAAACTAAGGCGGGCAGTTTGCAGTGGGGGTGATCATGTGGTGGGGTGTGGCCCGAGAGCCCCATCTGCAGGCCCTGTGCGCTGGGAGTGCGGGGACTGGGCGCAGACGCCCAGACGGGTCAGTCACTTTTTTAACCTGCCAGCGCCCGCAGGTCCCTGTGGCTGGGGGGGTGGGGGGGCGGGACACCCTGAGTTATAATCCCCCCGGGGCTGTCCCCTGCTGCCTGAACCCCCTACACCCCGAGTCCTACCCAGGCACCTCCAATTTCCCCTCAGAGAACAAGGTCACCCCCTCAGGACCTGCCCCGCCCGCTGCTCCCCTGGGTCCCTGAACCTGAGCCCATGCCCAGGCTAGCCCTCGACACCTCGCCTCACAATGGGCACCTTTGTCCTCAACGTCCATGCTGTGCCCCAGAATGGCCACCAGCACCCTGTCTTCTACCCCCACATCTCCCCCCAACCCCCTCAGGCACCCCATCCCAAGGCTGCCCGGAGCACCCCAGTCCCAGATTCCAAGGGTCCTCCTGGACTTGGGGGATCTGGTGACATCCCCCTAGGCACTGTGTTCCAGGTCCTGGGGGCAGCTGGCCTGGGGGTGGGTGGGGCTGGGGGGCCACTTGACTGGATGTCCCGCTGGGCTGTCTGGCCCAGGGGACGTCCAGGGAGCACCTGCTTCTCCCAGTATGGGGGCCCAGCTACCCCTGTCCTCTGCTCTGACTTGGCACCTGCTCCCCTCCCTGGACCAGGGGCCTGTTATCCCAACAACCTCAGTGCCCAGCTCTCTAGGGGGTCTCTGGGGAGCACTCACTGCAGGGCGAGGTGGAGCCCCAGGTCACCGGCTCTCCTCTCGTGTCCCCCACTTCCCGAGGCTGTCACCACTGTCTCCACGGGAGGAAAGGGACTCAGACAGGGCCAGGCCACTTGCCCAGGGTCACACAGCAAGTGTGCAAGCAGATGGCGGGGACCGGAATCCAAGTTGGGGAGACCCCCATGAGCATGTGCCCACATCTCCTGACCAGCTGACCCCTCAATGGTGCCGGCTCCAAGCCATGAGCTGTGCTGTCGTATTCTTATGCCCCAGCCCCTGCCTCTCCCAGGGACCCAGGCCAAGGCTCCAGCCCCGTCCCATGGATGGCACAGTCCGTTCCACACCTAACAGTGCTCGGAAAGTTAGCCAAGACCCAGGGGCCAAGGGTCCCAAGTCACCAGGTGTCAAAGAACCCCTCCACCCTGCCCCAGCCTCACTAAGGATGCTGACATTCCAACGACGACGGCAACTGAAAAATTTAATGATGTTTGAAAAAAGCCGATGGTCGGAGAATAAATAAAAGACCAGACTTTCACAGAACCAACGGTAGCAGGACGCAGGTTCACAGGAATGACTGGGACCCCCTTGAGGCAGCCCTTGTGCCTGAAGGTGGCAGGAGAAGTTCTGAGGGAGGAGGCGGCCGGACAGAGCAGCCCCGCCCTCAGCTTCTCCAGCTGATGTCCAGCCGGGCAGTTAGAGGCAGCTGGGGGAGGGGGGTCAGGGCTGTTTGGCAACGGAAATGGGTGGGCTGGGCGTGGCCGGACGCTGAGGCTGGTTGGCTGGGCTGGGGGAGGGGAGGAAAACCTAACCCGGGCGGGGAGGGAGCTCCCGGTGGACAGAGGGCTGGGCCGACCAGGGCCCCCCAGGGAGTTGTTAACTCCAGAGGGGAGTGGAGTCCAGTGAGAACGGAGGAACCCGAGCCCTGTGCCCTAGGGCAGGGGTGATGGGCTCCTGGGGAAAGGGGTTTGGTGGCAGGGAGGTCCCCAGAGGGAGCTGAAGGGACACAGAGGTGCCCTCCCCCCCACTGCCACCTTCAGCCTGGAAAGGTGAGGCCGGTCTCTGTCCTAACGTGGGCTCAGAGAGATGGGCCTGGGAATGAAAGCAGGATCAGCAGAATTTTTCAGTTTTGGGAATGAACGCATCTCCCAGCCGGGCTGGGCCAGGGAGAGGCCCGGAGGGCCTAGTGGGGAGCCATCTCATGTCTAGAATCAGCCCACGCCCTTGGTTAGCTGGTCCATAAAGGGAGAAGTCTGCGTACAGAACAGGCTTCTGGGCGCCCACAGTGGACCAGCCCTGGTCGGAGAAGGAGAGGCAGACAGTCCTGCTTGAGAGTGGGGGTGCGGGCAGGGTGCTCCCTCCGCTGGCTCCTCATCTTCATCCTGTCCCCAGTGGCACCCGTGGCGGCACCCCACGACTCGAGGTCCAGGCTCCTGGAAAGGAGGGCGCAGCGCCAGCCCGCTCCCCTTCGCCTTCAAGTCCAGTGCTCAGTGGAGCTGGGGGCCTCGGTCAGAACTGGGCGTGGTCCACCTCATCCAGCCAGGAGGCGGGGCTGGCGGGGAAGTCGGGGTAGCCCCCACTGCTCCCCGTGGACAGGTCAGAGCTGGGTCCGTTCCCAGCCAGCACTCGCATGGGCGGGGGTCCCCCTGGGGCCCCCGTGGGTACGAGGCCCAGGCCAGCATCGGGGTACACCAGGCTGGAGAGGAGGGGCTGGGGGCCCGGGAGGCTCTGCAGGGCCGCAGGGGAAGGGGGGACACCATAGGGGCTGCCGGGGCGCAGCTCCCGGAACTGCTCTGGGCCTGGGCCAGCCAGGCCTCTGTGCTCCAGTGGGAAGCTGCCGGGGGCTCCCGAGGGCCGGCCCAAGGCTGGGGTGGGCTCCCCCAGGCTGTTGTAGAGGCCGTTGGCGGGGCCCATCTCGGCCATGGCTGGCTCTTCTGCAATGGAAGCAGAGGGCGGTGGTGGGTGCCCGTCTCCTGTACCTCAGGCCCTCCCAGCCCCTCTACCGGGTGACCGGGCCGTCTCTTCTGCTCTTATGCCCCCCCTGCACCCCTCCACCCGTCCACCCTGCTTTTGTTCTGTCAGTCCCGCCTGGTGTCTAAGGAATGGGGGTTCCCTGGTGGGACGGTGCTGGAAACAGTCCAGTCGGACCCAGGTTCCAGGACGACCCCCACGCTGCCCTGGCAGGGGGGGCACAGAGTCCACCCCCCCCCACACTTTGCAGACAAGTTACTTGAGGCCCAGAGAGGCTGGGTGCATGGCCTAAGCTCACCATCAGCCAAGAAGAAAGCGTCTGGACGGACATTGAGGGAGAATGAGCTCCTGGGTCCCAGGAGGGAGGTGGGCGCTCCCCACGGAGCAGCAGGGTTTTTAATCACCGACTCCCCACTGTGCTGCCCACTTTCCTAAAAGTCACGGCCAGGGCGCAGCCCAGAGCGCTGGGCCCTCCCCGCTAGGGCCGCCTGCTATGGACGGGTCAGGGGTGCTCCCCCCAGGGGAGGGCAGTGGTCCTGAGCGGCCAACCCACAGGGCTTGGGGGTGGGGGGCGAAGGTCTACAGATAAATGTTTGAAGTTGGGCTAAGAGGCCACTGGCTTGGAAACTCAGGTTTCTAGTCTCCCTGTAACCATCAGCCCCTGGTTCTTCCGACCGGGGCTGCGCTCTCCGGGCTGCGGGGGTGGCCGGGCAGGGGGTGGCCCCGGCGCATACCCGTGAAGGAGACCTCAGCGTCGCTGTCCGGCCCCTCCTCCTGGACGCTGTCCTTGTCCGACTTGGGGGCGCCGCGGGCGCGCTTCATGCTGCGGAAATACTGGCCCCATCGCTGTCGGCCCGCGTCTTTCTTGAGCCTCTTTTCCTTGGCCCTGCGGTTCTGGAACCACACCTGCGGGGGG